GACAGTAGTAAGTTAATAATAATAATAATAATAATCATAATAATAATAATATAAATATGACAGTTCTTCCAAGGACTCCAGTTACAGTAAGTCACCTTGTATGACTTTTTTGGGTTATCCTAGTAATTTACTCTGTGTATAATTGTACTTAAGTGTACCTGTGCCTAAATAAACTTATTTATTTACTTAAGTTCCTGGAGTCTGTGTTAGAGAGGGAATGTTCTCAAAAGTACTGAGTAACCAAACAATTCTAGCGTCTTGTAAGACTGCTAGAACAAAACTGGAAAAAAGGTGAAGCTTTTAGGAGGAAAGTGTATGGTTAGATGCCTGGCCAGTCACCTGGTGTAACCTGTGTGGGCTGGCCAGTCACCTGGTGTAACCTGTGTGGGCTGGCCAGTCACCTGGTGTAACCTGTGTGGGCTGGCCAGTCACCTGGTGTAACCTGTGTGGGCTGGCCAGTCACCTGGTGTAACCTGTGTGGGCTGGCCAGTCACCTGGTGTAACCTGTGTGGGCTGGCCAGTCACCTGGTGTAACCTGTGTGGGCTGGCCAGTCACCTGGTGTAACCTGTGTGGGCTGGCCAGTCACCTGGTGTAACCTGTATAGGCCTGCTGGCTACTTAATAAAAAAAATGTGCCTGGTTGAGCAGTGAAGGAAGCTTGGCTGAGGTGAGGCTAGGCTGCTAGGGTGGAGACCCTGGGGAACTGGGAACTACGTATTATTTCGTTTACGGCTTTGTCAAGCCGTAAACGGCTTGACAAAGCTCCTGGAGAGCGAAACGTTGCCACAATAAAATGTCGCATTAGTTGCATTTGTGTCGGTAATTCTACCAACATTATTAGTGTGTGTTAATTCAAACACTCATTACCAGTGTTTTCACCACGGCTGCTGCCTCCTATTTTTAGATACTCCCTTGTCCACTGGACTTGTATTTTTGATACCCCTACAGGCTTTTCCTGTTTTGTAAATCAGTTGCCTGTGAAAACTCATGAAAGGTATTACAGGCCTTCCAGCAGTCTAGGAATGTGCATTTAGTCTGTTTTCTTTCTTGCCTTATTTCTGTCATCCAGTCATAAAACGTGAGTAGCCTTAGGAAGCATTTTTCATACACTGACCAAGTACTGTTGGCCCAGGTTAATCCTTGTATTCTCCAGGTGATCCACCATCTTGTTTTAGAATCTTTTCAAGCACTTTTCAGGGTCTGCATATTAGGGATATGTCACAAGTTTAGGGGTACTGGCCCCCCTGCTAAGCAGGTCGAACTCGCACACATTCGTGTACGTGTCCAGCCTATTTTTAAAGTTTCCTGAAGTTCTCGCTTCAGTGACGCTACTCTGGAGTTTGCTCCACTCTTTGGGGCTGTTTTATTATATATGTGTGATATGTCTCTTGTCTCTGTGTAACGTTGTACATCATTGGTTATAATATAGCTTGCTCGGGATCACTGCCAACACTTGTATCCTCGGCTAGATTGTATCTGGATTCTGGAGTCATTGTTTCCTGTACTGATGGTTTCTAACCTTACCTTAGTCATCTGTGTGTGTTCCAGTGATGCTTGAGGCACTGTGTGTTCCAGTGATGCTTGAGGCACTGTGTGTGTTCCAGTGATGCTTGAGGTACTGTGTGTGTTCCAGTGATGCTTGAGGCACTGTGTGTGTTCCAGTGATGCTTGAGGCACTATGTATGTTCCAGTGATGCTTGAGGCACTGTGTGTGTGTTCCAGTGATGCTTGAGGCACTATGTATGTTCCAGTGATGCTTGAGGCACTGTGTGTGTGTTCCAGTGATGCTTGAGGCACTATGTGTGTTCCAGTGATGCTTGAGGCACTGTGTGTGTTCCAGTGATGCTTGAGGCAGTGTGTGTGTTCCAGTGATGCATGAGACACTGTGTGTGTTCCAGTGATGCTTGAGGCACTGTGTGTTCCAGTGATGCTTGAGGCACTGTGTGTGTTCCAGTGATCCATGAGACACTGTGTGTGTTCAGTGATGCTTGAGGCACTGTGTGTGTTCCAGTGATGCTTGAGGCACTATGTGTGTTCCAGTGATGCTTGAGGCACTGTGTGTGTTCCAGTGATGCTTGAGGCACTATGTGTGTTCCAGTGATGCTTGAGGCACTGTGTGTGTTCCAGTGACGCTTGAGGCACTGTGTGTTCCAGTGATGCTTGAGGTTTTGTGTGTGTTCCAGTGATGCTTGAGGCACTGTGTGTGTTCCAGTGATGCTTGAGGTTTTGTGTGTGTTCCAGTGATGCTTGAGGCACTGTGTGTTCCAGTGATGCTTGAAGCACTGTGTGTGTTCCAGTGATTCTTGAGGCACTGTGTGTTCTAGTGATGCTTGAGGCACTGTGTTCCATTGATGCATGAGACAATGTGTGTGTTCCAGTGATGCTTGAGGCACTGTGTGTGTTCCAGTGATGCTTGAGGCACTGTGTGTGTTCCAGTGATGCATGAGACAATGTGTGTGTTCCAGTGATGCTTGAGGCACTGTGTTCCAGTGATACTTGA